CATTAAATCAATCAATAGGAAATTAATCTAGCATTAATAATCAACAACAATAATTTACCCCTTCATATTGTTTATTAGATCCCCATAAACCCTAGAAATTAAACTACTCACACATATTAAAAACTAAACTAATCAAAGTAATAAAATAAATCATGGTGAAAGGAATAAAATAAACAACTAAGATTAAGGGAGAAGAAATAAAAGAGAAAGTAATACTAAGAGTTTAATTAAAAGGAGAGAGAAAAGTTAGAGAGATAAAGAGAGAAGAAAAACTAAACTAAAAAAAGAAAATTAAAAACTAAAACTAACTAAAAAAACTAAACTAAACTAAAGCTACCAACCTCGCTCCTCCAACCTACGTACTACTACCCCTTTTATAAGAAAAGTCAAAGGACTTTTATTCGCACTCAAACTCCTCACCAAACAAAATCCTTCAGCAAATAAAGACGTGTTCAGCGAAGTAAGGCCCAAGGATTTGTAGGCCCAATATCTTAAATAGCCTAAGTGAGTCGCTGATTATATCTGCCCGATCGGGCCATACCTCCCCCGATCGGGCCCGGTTAGCTTGGGCTTCAAAGCTCTACCTCCCTTTTGTTCTTGGACTTTGTCTTTTAGAGTTCATTAGCCCAAATTCATTCACTTGTTTGATCCGTGATATAAGAACTTGTAAAATCTTGGACCTTCTCTTGTATCAAGCCCTTAATCACCAAATTAAATTCTCTAACTCGGCCTTGGGCTTAAAATATACGGTCATAAAATACGATCCGACTCTAATATTTTCGTAGTGGCTCAATAAGCTCAGGAATTATCGTAATTCTGCAAATTCCTACAAAATAATACCAACTCTACAAAAACACTAGAAAACGTATATTAGTAATAAAAATAGCTCCGTAGAGCTCAAATAAGCACAAATATGACCGTGGGACGGGGAATAAAAATATATATATAATAGACTTATCAAATAAGCAAATAAAAGAAAAAAAGAACAAAATGGGCTAAATTATTGTAAAATAAGCCGGAAAGCGACTTAGTAAACACCCTAAAAGTGACATAAAAGTCACTTATCAAGTTCCAAGTCTCCCAGCATTAAATTCCAAATCCACTCCATTTACTTTACTAGTGCACACACTATAATCAAACACACACTCTTTACAGAACTCATCCATGACCAACTAATAATTTAAGTAATTTTTCATTTTAACAAAAAACATAAATTCCCACCCCTGAAACTTAATCAGATCTAGAAATTCTACAAACATAGCATTTCTACACCATGAAAAATCAATTATATAACTTATGACATACCTTCCAGCATGTTTTTCCATAACCTTTTGATCTTCTTCCCCCTCAAAATCTTCATTCTCTCCTTCGACTTCCCCCCTTAGGAAATACTCTGATCTCTGCATTCTCCTCTTCTAGTGAATTTGTCGCTTTTTTGGCCTTCCTTTTCTTCCATTCTGAGAGAGAACTGAGGGTATTTGGTAGATCTGTAGTTGAGGAAGTTACGGTTTCTTCTAAAGCTTTTGGCTTGGTATTTTTGGCTTATGAGGTTATTGAGGTTGGAATTTCATGCGTAACACCGACTGGATGAATATTTAATTTCAAATACACAATGAAATCTCATTTTCATTTGAATATGATACACACTTCAGTGGATTTCACCATCTCCAATAGGGATGTCAATTTAATCCGAGTTCGATTCGAATCCGATCCGATCCGAAGGAAATAATCCGATTCGAATCCGTTTAAACTTTATCTGAATCCGATAAAATAGATCCGAATCCGAATAGGAGGTGGATCAGACTTGGAACCTACGCAAAGTCTGACGGAGTCCGATTCAAGTCCGAATCCGAGAGTATAAGCATATGCTCTATAACTTGGGACAATTATTTACTTGTTTTGTAGCAAAATTTTGTTATGTAACTTAGTTTATAATTTAAATATGTTATGTTTATACTTTAATTGGTATGACAATACAAGCAATTTTAGGTATATGACATTACAAAAAATAAAAAATAAAAAAAAAATATTCGGATCATTTCGGAGGTCCGAATAAACGGACCGGATTTGGATCCGAAAAATTACGAGTCGGATCGGATTCGGACTCGGATTTTTCGGATTCGGAATCGGATTTGGATTTGGATCCGAGTCCAGGGTCCGTTTACTAAATGGATCGGATTCGGATTTAGCCACATCCGACCCGAATCCGATTCGTTGCCATTCCTAATCTCCAATCACCAAATTATAATGTCGTTGAAAATGATTTATATCATGTCCTGTTAACCTTATATGGTTTTGATGATGATAAGTACACTTCATTTAATAGTTTCGTTGAAACTTGTGTTTTCAGGTCAGTAAACTTTAGGAGTGTTATATACGTAGTATAATAAACTTGGAATAGAGAAAATAAAAAGCTATGGCAAGCAAGTAAAGTATAAGTGAGGCATTGCTCGATATACGCCTACGTAGATGTAGCCACCAAAAAATTTCTTCACGATCGAAACTCGATGATGACTTTAATCTTTCACCACCATTTGGTTTGAGTATTGAAAGAGACGAGCTCTTAAATCTTGCTTAGATTTCTAAGCCATTTCCATTTTCTATCATTTCATAAAGCTATTTTACCCATTTCAATAGCCCAACACTTTTGCTATCCAGAAATTTATGAACGTTATCCCAATGTTCTCTTTTCATAACTGCATCCCGAAGCATACCAAATCTGACTTTTATGCTTCATAATTATAAGGAAAATTTGTAAATAATAATCCCAACTTTGCTCCATTTTCTTTTAATAATCCCAACTTTGTATTTTTCTGGAATAATCCCAACTTTGGGGGGGTGTTTGCTTTCTTTAATTCCAAACTGGTCAATAAAAGTCAATGACCTATAATATCAGGTAACTTGACACGTGTCAAGTCCTGATTGGTCCAATAAAATTTAAAAACAAAACCCACAAAATACCACCAGCACTCCTCCCTTTCCCCCACTGGCCACCTTAACTCCAGCATTGCCCGATCGCCGGCCGCCGCCGCTGCATTCCTCGCTGGCGTTGCCGATTTACCCCCTCCCCAAAACCCCCTCCTTTTCCCCCACGCAACACCAAGCAAACCCCCCATCACTCCCAAAAAACTCCAAAACGCCCCTCCCCCCACCATGAAACCCTAGCGACTAGGGTTTTCAATGGTGGGGGAAGGGTGTTTGGGGGTTTTCGAAACTAGAGAAGGTGGTTTTAGGCGTTTCTAGTGTTTCAAGGAAGATTTGATGGTGGAGGAGAGTCGGAAAATGAGGGAATGGTGGTGACTGGTGGGGTCGCCGGCACGGAGAAAAAGGGGAAACCGACGCATGGGGAGGGGGAATAACGTCGTCACACTGCCGCAGGGGAAGAAAGGAGTTACGGCAGCCGGTCGACGTCAAGTTGTGGAGGCTAATTGGTTGGGGGTGACGTTTAGCTGGGTGGGTTTTTTGTTTTCTTTTCTTTTTTTGTTTTAACCAGTAAATTCGCGCCATGTGTCATTTAAAGAAAATAAATAAATAAATAAATAAATAAATACCCCATTCAATAGGTAACCGATCATTGGGATTGAAGAAAGCAAACACCCCCCAAAGTTGGGAATTATTCCATAATAATTCAAAATTGGGATTATTAAAAGAAAATGGAGCAAAGTTGAGATTATTATTTACATTTTTTCCTAATTATAATGCAATCTTACATGTATGTATAGCCCTTGAAATAAGTGGCAGAGCCACATTAGAACAAGGATTTTTTATTTTTTTGGTAATTTAAAAAGATGCAGTAAAAAGGTATAAATAAAATACGCTTACGGTAGATATTACAAGGATGAATATGCTTGATACTTGGTCTTAGTTTTGAATCCTAACTTTTTTTTGTTACAACTTTTTCTCCCCTATTTCTTGTTTCACTCTTCTTTTGGCATATAGAAATAGTTGGCATATATGACTTCAAATAAAAATTAAACAATTTGTGTGATCAATTTTTTTCCTTAGATTTTTGTCGAATATTAACCTCCAAAATTTGTCTCCCCGGAATAGAAATCCTGGCTCCACCGCTGGTTGAAATACTCTTTCCAATAAGGGAAAAAAAAACCCCTTAAACCTATCTAAATTATTGCAGCAGCATTTCAATTGGTAAACTAGAAATTTCCGCATCTTTCAATCTTTTTAGGTATTGTTTGGTTGCACTTGATTTCCATAGGCAATGAAATCTTCAATAAATTTTGTTTTGACCATATTGTTTGGTGACATTATAGAGTAAAAATGAAGAAATTACAATTCATGAGAGTTTTCATTTCCTACAAAACATAGGAATATATACACCCACCCCATCCTTAATCATTCACAATTCCTATGATTTATAAATTCTCACATGACAGTCTAACACTTTCATCTATTATCCTAGGAGTTACATATGAGAAATATTCCCTATATTAGTAATTTCCAGGGAACTTATGTTCTACACCAATCAAACGAGGCCTTAATCAAACCAGTTCCGTATCAAATATTATGATAAAATACGAGGACTTTGCCAAAGAGAGCTCTTCGGCTCTTCACATACTAGTATAAAGAATTATCGCATCAAATATATTCCCTCCGTTTTTAAATACTTGCTCCACCTATTATTTCTGGCCATTTTTAAATACTTGCTTTATTTTCTTATATGGAAATATTTTACAATATGTAAATTATTTCTCTCAACTAGTGGACTCAACATAAATTACATTTTATTAATTTCATATTTTCTCTTTTCTAATTCTCTCAACTACTTTTGCTTTTAGTCGTTAATGAATCATGACTTGTTCCAAGTTCCAACTTACACATTTCTGAAATTTCACTTTTATGGGCAACCCGAACAAGGAGCAGAGTTTGATTGATTCATAAACAAGACTAGAGATTCCACACTAAAACCAAATTGATAATAGTAGGAGTAACTACTTATAAGTGGAACTATAACTCCTCTTTCTCCAATGTGGAACACTCACAAGTGGGCTATAATGGTTTTCAACATTATGTCGTGCATTCAGTATGTCGCACTGCTTCGACCCACATCATTAACATCAACATCAACATCTAATGCTATTTGTAAATAGATGAGTACAAAGCAATTGGGTTCAACCTCCTCTCATTAAGAAATTATCACCACTAAAAACTAAACTCATCCAAGGGGGTGAACAATTTGGCAGTTCAACTAAAAACACATTTCTAAAAGCTCAAAAAGTTTGGAATAAAGGGCCAGCTACATCGGCAGCTGTCGCGAAGTGAATACAAATTACTGCCAATCCCAAACTCCAGAAATGTTCACTTGAATACATGACTGTAATAATAATAAACCCCACATAAGCATATCAGTCAGCATCCATCTCTTCCAGTGCAGCAGTTGCGGCAGATTTGGCTTCTTGTAGAAGATTTTCAGGAACCTGACATCCAACAGGAAAAGAATGATAAATGAGCTAATATTACTCCATATACAGAAGACAATTAACAATGAACATCTTGGATATACAACAACAAAGTAATCTACTGCTGATCCACGAAACCATAAAACAGACGTGCTACAGGTTTACAACAAAAAAAAAAAATAAAAAAAAAATAGAAAAAACGAGTGAATGAACATCCTTGTTTGAGTTGTTTCCCTTCTGAATGATTTGAAATTTCTGCAAGCCCCTACCACCACTTTTGGCATGAACTAATGCCTCAAAACCTAATATCCTGATTTTATTGACCCCTCTTCCCTCAAGTTTCCAGAATCCCTCAAATATCAATACACCCTGCACCACTACGACACTACCATAACAACCAATTCTAGCCCCACCGTCAGAGTTGAAACTATCAGCCATACAGCACCATCAGTTCTATTTTCTACCCTCACCACAGGAGCCACTAAACAACAATTACTGAGCTCACCTCCACCAGTGCAAAATTCTGAGTACTTGATACACCAACACCCAACTTGAAATTTTACACCCTCGCAAAATTCTGCGTAATTGACACACCATCCAACACCCAACCCAGTCCCATACCAGCCCTCACTGTAAGGACTCCACAAATCTCAGTACAAGAACCAGACTGCCAAACACCATAATAATTAATCAAGAGCAGCCAACCATGAAAACCAGAACATCCATGATATTTGGCATTAATGGCAGCACATGTGGGAGGATTATAATGGTAAGGAATAAGTAGAGGATGAAACTATGAAAGTTGTGATGAAGGAAGACTGATGCCTGGGGGTGATGAAAATTAAGCTTATTTCCCCTTATCACATTTTCAAAAAGCAAATATTAATCATAGATAGTTATTCCCAGTTCTCATATCTCTGAAACAGCATAAACCCTTAATCTAATTCCTTTCCATTCTCTCCCTTTGATGATTCCTTTTCGGTTCTTTCTTTCTTTTCAGTCGATAAAAGCTTTTTTCCATCTTGACCATAAAGAACTTTAGAACAATAAATCAAAGCACAAAAACTGAACCATGTGCAGGGCTTATAAATTTATTTGTATTGAGTTACACAATCTTAAGCTTCAAGAAAATAACCTATATTCAAGTCTAATTCCATGGCTCTACATGACAAGGTGCAATGCCATTTAAGGACAGTACAAGAGATTACCTTTTGATGCTCGCGTTTTGACTCATCACAAATCCAACTCATCTCCAATTCAAAAGCTTTGTCTTTTGCTTCATCGTGAACCTTGTATATGCTGAATTTGCAAACAAATGTGAGAATGTAATCATGATCCCAACAGGCAATCATAATACTTAAACAAACTTCATTTTAAACACGCGGATGAGATAGCAGAAAAATATATACAAATTATTCCAAGTGACCCTTTATAAGGTTCCCTGTCAACAATTCCCATCTTCTATGATGAGCTACTTATCAAAAGTAAAAAAGATGCAAAGCTACCCAGTATCAAAGTGGGATTTATCAATCAAGAAAAAAAAGTTGTGGTATAAATGATCAATCATGGTAGGCGGAAAACAATGCAAAAGTAGGGGCTAAGTGGTAAGACCAGTTGAAGGTAGGGACATTTTCGAATTAAAACTCATTTACTTTAACATCTTAATTTCTCAGACTTGAAATAATAAACCAATTTCTTTCTCATTTAAAAATGAACCAAAAATAAAATAAAATAAAACATTTATTTCTGTTTCCTACTCTTTGGAAAAGTGCTACATAATTTCCATATCCTAAACCTTTGATATGCTAAACAATTATGCATAATGCCATTTAGAACAGCCAAGATATAAGCATCCAAATGGCCAGGTAAGGCTCATAGAAAAGATCAACTTGATCATGAGCTCTAGATTTCTCCAATGATTAAGTCAATATGAGTTATCTATTAAGGCTTTAGGTGTATCAGCAAAAAGAGGGTCACACAGCTTCCGTAAACCAACTTTAATGTGCAAAAGCCATATACTTTTGCTAATTTACTAATTAATTAACAAGCCATAATTGTCAATTGAGTAGAATGAATTAAATTGTTAAAATGATATATGATTTAACATAAATGTTATAAGAGATATCATTTTATGATTACTTTTAAAAGATCATCTTTTTAAATCAGTGGTTGTAAATCATGAAAAAAATTCACCATCAATGTTTGCCTACAAAGGCACATGAGAACAATTACATTTGGAAAGAGGAGAGCAATCAAATCAATACTATACTCCCTCATATGAGAACAATTACATTTGTAAAGTGCCCTTATTTGACTCACACACATGCCAATGCAAAACTTTAACCAATATCTTAAATTATCAATAAATTATTAAAAATTGTTATAGGGAAACTATACATTGAGACAAATCTAACAAACACCCACATGACGGTTTAATCTTATTTATAATACACAAACATTGGTCAAAGTCAGTGGCGAATGTAAATAGTACAAAAGTCAAACTGAACACTTAATATGGAGCATACGCAAAGAAAGGACAGCATCAAGACCCCAAAAGACTAAAAGATGCATGAGACACCAACTCCATCAGCAATAGTGCATATGCACGGAAAAATAGCTCTCTAACTGCCAAAAACTGACTAGTGTAGTATTTTTCAAAACAATATCTTCATTATAAAAGAAAGCAAAAAATTAAAAAGGAAAATATAGAACCATAAGGAATTTGTTCCAAAAGAAAAAAGCACGTACATCTTGGCTACTTCAATGATCCCTTCTCTACAGGTCATTTCAGAGAGCTTCAACTTCTCGATTTCCCTGAGATGTAATAAATCAAAAGATCTCAATTTTAATATAATAACAAAGACTACTGAAGATGCATGACAGAATAACAGATTATGGATTATATAATTACATAGGATGAATAATTAGTTACTAATTGCATAAGAAATTTATTCAGAAAAAAGGCATTAATCATTATCTCCACTCAAACGCAACCCAAATCAAACAACCACATTTTCTGCAATTTGACAATCAGTAATGCATTTAGGGTGGGGTGGAGGGAAGGGGTAGAGAAAAAAACTAGTCACAGTATTCAATGGGAGGCCTTTATTAGGAAAATCTAGAGCATGAAGGTCCAGCTTACGTTTTAGCAGCTTGTTTTCCCTTTCCAATTGCAGCGCCAAAATATCTCTGTGTCAAAATATAGTAAGATCAGTAGAAGCATAAAGATAGCAGAGCAATTACAAAATAAAAGTGTAAAATTTAACTCTAAAGATGCAAATAAAGTGGAAGCATAAACCTGTTAACTTACATATGAAATTCCAGAAGGCTCAACCATATATAATTGTGGTCCATCTCTGTCATAACCTCCAAGAATGACTCCACATCCAAAAGGTCTGCACCACAAATCATCAAAGATAGTGAGACAAACATATGTAGGGCAAAAAATTCATACTAGTAGTAATTTAATATATGGCATACTCTATAGCACCTGAGCCACCAATAGAGTGTGCATAAATGCACATAGCTAGCAACGCGGTCAGCAAGTTCCTTCACTGGGACAGCTTCACCATAGGTACTACAGAAGAGTATTTTCCAGAGTTAGCTTTCATTAAGTAGCAAGCAAATGATAAATATGTGACGCAAGTGGGGGTTATTGTGGAATGGTGGTGGTGCTAGGGAGAGGGGAGCAGTGGTGGCTAGGGAGAGGTCAGGGAGGGGGGCGCTAGTGGTGTAATTAGGGGAAGGTGACTACAAAAGGAAAAAGAGAATAGAATTGGAGGGGAATAATAATAAAGTAAAATAAATTTACATTATAATTTGAGGAGCAAAATATCATGTGCCACATAGTGGTGGTGACCAACTTTTGAGGTTAATACAATTTTGCTAGCATAAACTACATAGTCATAGTTACCTCAAATTAATTTAAACAAACAATTAATCCATCATTAATGCTTCACACTGTATAACAAACCGTAATACAAGGCCACTAATTAAAATTAATCAGTTAATTTTTTCAGGTAACCAAATATCAACGGCTAAGATATGAGGCTGCCTTTTTTTAATTTCACAAGATAAATTACTAAAGCCAAACTACAGCTTACAAACTACCAAAAGATGGTGAAAAATTACTAGGCCGAATGAGTATATGACCTCAAAAGACATAGGCATAAGCATATATCATTACCAACCTCTCATAATTTGTAGCTTCTGACTTAGCACGAGCAACTATTTGTCTTCCATCTGCTGCTAATCCAGCAACTGCCTGTTATACAAACAAAGAAATGGCAAGTATGAAGGGTGAGAAAGTGCAAATACACACAACTGGAAGAGAAAACAATAACAAATAGACACATTTACATAATGAAAATGGATAAAGGTGCTGAGGATTAGATTATTAGTTCACATAGTTTGTTAAGTGTTAACCCACACAGTCATATAGCCAAAAAAAAAAAAAAAGAAACATTGCTAAAGAACCAAAGAAGTGAAAATAATCCTTGAAAGAGATATCAGGCCATGAACAAAGTCAACAAATGAAAGCAAATTAAAGAACTAAAAAAACCTCAAATGCTAGGAATTGTGTGCCCACAATACTGGTTTAATCTACCTTTTATTCAACACACTTAAATCTCAGCCATCAATTTGGGGAAAACAAAAAAAACAAAACCAACATTAAAAAATATTAATATTTTCAAAATCCTTTCCCCGTCATTAAAAGCTCGTCAGATTCTAAACTTCATTTCATCTGCAAGATCTTCATACCCTTTGTGCCTGCTGCTATACTCCTCCCTAACTCCCTCTATCCCCCCTTTTACCCACCCACGCTGAATAAATCACCACAACAACAAAAAATGGCCAATTTAAAAGTATGGAACCAACAGTGAATTTTGATGTTGTCAAGTTACTTAAACTACACAAAGATAATCTCTAATAGCTTTAAAAATTAAAACCCAAAATACTATCAGTAAACTAGTTAGCTATGGACCAAGCGCTAGGCCAAAATCACAAAGAGTACAAAGACATCAATTGAGAACAAGTGAGATGTACAGTCTAGTAAGAGGAGAGAGGAATCTTTATTCTCATCACTATAAATCACAACTATTGCTAGATATTTTGGACAAACCCCACAAGTACAAATCCACTATATCAAACCTTTAAATTGAATTTCATTTTATGCAGAATATAAATTGGTTAGTTTAGCATATAAGTAAAAAGAAAGACGTTTTGGGACGGGCTAACATATAAATCTTATTTTCCCAAGGTCTGATCATCAGCAAGTTCACTAACTCTTTCCTAAAGATTCAGACTATCATATCAAACAACCAAAGATATTGCCTTTTAGAAACCCATATAAATTTGCCTCTTCTAAGCCATCAACTAGCATTGTTACCTAGTCTCTTTCCCCAAATTGCATAAAGTATACAGCTTCTACTCCAGCCACCCAACTCATTTCTCTTTGTTCTTTATAATAATAACACTAAAAGATTTTTTGATGCCCCTAAACTAAAGCAATTGATAAATGAAGTAAAGAAACTTGAACAGCCATCGAACTAAACGATTAGGGAATCATTTGGCTTCACGATTATTGTGTCTGCAGTCTGCAGAAAAAGTATGGAAACCCACTTCCTCCTTAGGTACATACTTCACTATTTTCCTTCTCATTCCAAACTACCATAAATCTCGGTCCTCCTTACTAAAACTCTACCCCTCCCATGGGTATCATATACCCTCCACTCCATAACTCATTTCCTCGACTTCGTAACTCATTATCACCACCCTGACCACCTTAACTGTACTATTGTACCAAAACTATCAATATCGCCACATCACCATACTACCAAAATGACCCTTCCCACTGCCACGTAACGAAACGAACACGAGATACAAAACTAAACCAGCAAATGAAACTCAACACGATATAAATCGTACTCCTCAACTAAGTAATCAAAGACAAACTTAATGGTTTCAAACTCTCAAACTTAATAAAGTAGCTGGAAATAACAAGGCAAAAAAAGTTGAATTGCAATTAATCTACCACATTAACAGATTCCATTTCAATTCCTAATTTTAGTTCAAACCCAGTAAATAAAAAAGGATAGAAAATAACCATTCCAGAATGACGATGAACAGAGTGAATTCGTCGATTCGAACCCGGCAACATCATCTTCGATTGTATAAGCTTCTCCACACCCTAAATTCAACATCATTCACAAATCCAAATCAAAATCAAAACCAAATTCAAATTCAAAATCAAAATATCAACCAATTAAAAACCCTAAAAACAATAATTAATCTCGACTAAAACATTAAATTACCAAAACAATTCCATCCTTGCATTTGATGCCAACAACAGTACCACTGTTATCGACAGCCTTAGCAGCGTACTCGATCTGGAAAACTCGACCATCGGGTGAGAAAGTAGTGACCGAGAGGTCGTAGCCTGTTCCGATGCTGCTCATTTTTGCTTTTTCTCTCTCCTCTAAATTGCTTTGCTTTGGTTTGGTTTGGTTTGGTTTGGTTGTATTTGTGTGAGTGTGTTTTTACTGCTTTGGTGCTACAAAGTTATAAAAGGCGGACTTAGAAAATGTAGAAAAGCAGGTGATTTCGTAGAGAGCAAGATAGAGATCTGTGTTTCGTTTTCAATGTAAAGAGCAAAAGAGGAGAGACACAAATTGGTGCGCTACACGGACTCTCCTAGTGAGTTGTTATTCTTATTTTGGACTACGTTACAATATTACAATATTAAGAGGTGACAATCGGGTTGTTTAGATTGAATTTTTAGTTAGTCTAATTAAGATTGATTATGGGTTTGATCGAGTTTATTCATTTCCAATTTCACAATCAACATGTTTAATGCGAGTTGATTTAGGCTTTGATGCAATTCTTTTTGGTCGAGTAATTGAAAATGGGTCAATTTTATTAGGTTTTGACAAATTTTACCGGACCAAAGTTTATTCGATTTGTAGTTAAATAGTAAATGATTTGAGATTAACTCAAATGAAAATACCCCTCCCTCCCAAAAAAAGCATCCATTATTTGAAGATTTGAAATTAATTCAAGTAAATTTACCCAACACAATTAACCAACTTAATTTTATAACAAAAATAAAAGTCCTTACTCACCTGAATCTACACATGATCATCCCCTCTTATCTTATTTTGATATACCCTCTTTCTAAAGCTGACTAGAGTAAATCGTCGATGGACGCAACATATTGCCATACTCCCTCCATTCTCCTTATTCCCGTGAAAAATGAGAAACAACCATATAATAAAGCGATGAAGCATATAATGTCTTCATTGTGATCTATGATACTATATTATACCAAGTAGCAAGTGATATGTGCATATTCTTATCGAAGTTTTAAAGAAAAAGTATATTTAAGTGTATTTGATGATAACTTGTGATTAAGCAAGATAAAAAGAGGGAAGTTTGATGTTATAACATATGATGTCTTATATTGTTTCCAAAGTCTTGGTTTCAAATGTGCTCTCGTATGTGTCTTGTTCATTAAGTATAGTTAAAGTGAATACGCAATGCACACCGAATTCCTTACAAGTCACTATTGGGAGGAATCACATATCTTGTCCTGGACAATGTGTTTACAAGGAAAACAAAAAAAAAACTGAACTCGAACCCATATTACAAACTTGCAGCAGTACTAGTATCTTGGACAATGTGTTTACAAGGAAAAAAAATAAAAAATCAACTCTGCAACAAACTCAAACTTGCACAACTGTTAGTATACTAGTATCGTAATGTTATCAAGAAGGGCTTCTGTGACAGTAAACTCAACTAGCAAAGGAAAAAAAACAAAATCTCAGCAGAACATAAATTAAAACTACATTGATATCCGACTGAGAACAAAGTTATAACATAGCAACCACTAATATTTGGAAGCAGTTTCATTGTTTTTTTTTCATCACTATAGTTTGCTAACTTGTAATTATGAGCGTGGCCATATTAAGAAATACACAAAACAAAAGCTATTTCTGTTCGACATTTAGGGTTTTGCCCGAATGTTAAGTCTGTTGTGTTCAATGGTACAGAGGCTCCATCTGCTGGGGATTTACACTAAGTTGTTAGCAAAAAGCTGCAGGGTTTCTAACATTCATGGAATCAAACCAGCATCATCTTGTTCAACAGTTTCCTCATTCTCTGATGGTGGTCCATGGCTACTGTTGGAAGGAGAGTTCTCAGCAGTAACAGCTCCACTACCTTCATCATTTTGGTCCCTAAATATCACTGCAAAGGACAACGGATTATAGGTTGAACTTGTCCGGAGGCCTTGTATGGTTTTGATTGCTGAAAGAGTACTCCGGTATATATCTTGGCTAGCTTCCCCTAATGATGATGCATCAAAAGGCATATTGGTTGCATCAGAGACAGCAGGATCTGCTTGGTTTTGGTCCCGAGGAGCAGAAGTAGATTCAGTGACTTCCTCTTCTAAAGGGAAAAGAAGCTCAAGATTAGCCTCACATTCTCGGACTAATCTAGTAAGAGGTTCGGTAGTGAAGAAGGGTTGATGTGCTGCAAGTTGTGTGAAAGGAAGGCGCAGCAATCCTCCTGTTCTTTTGTCATACTTTTTCAATATCTTCACTAGTCCTGTCAATATGTAATTCACAGGTTGCACTTTGGAGTTAGTTATAAATTTTTTGCATGATAATTTTTCAGCATGACTGGAACACAAACTGACTATACCTGTAAAATTTAGGGAGGTATACTTTCGGGAAGCAGCATCTCCCTATCATGAGTGACACCGCCTTATGAATCAAAATAAGTAACCCATAGGTAAAGCAAAAGATATAACCACTATACCTGCAAAGTTGAGGGAGCTATAGTTTTTCAAAAGCACCATTTCTCCATGTATAGTAACAAACTCCTTGCGAATATCCATCATTTCTTCACTGAATTCACTTTCTGATGCTGGAATTTCATCCCTTCTGTTTTCCCTTACCCTTAAAATTCTTTCTTTTAATTCCTGTAGCAATATTAAGCACATGTTACATACAATAGATATCTGAAAATTATGCAAGTAAAAACTTGAAAGCAGAAGGTATAAATCATCACTGTGCATCTTCTCGATTATGTATCGCCTTTGACAATCACTTCTACAATTCTTTTTGGCAAAAGCAAACTACACGGTCACGGCTTTAAAAAAATACTTGTAACAAAATTCAATGGACACAGGTTTTAAGTAATGGCAAGGCTGTGTATCTAAAATCTCCCATACTACATATAAATAGGACCCTTGTGAGGAACACTTTGGTAACAGATAAAGTGATTATATTATAAATACTCCAACAAAAAGCAGTGAAAGAATTCTGAAAATTATGCAAGTAAAAACTTGAAAGCAAAAGGTATTATAATCACTGTGCATTTTCTCGATTTTATATAGCCTTTGACAATCTCTTCTACAATTCGTTTTGGCTTAAGCATCATCATGGGCATGTCTTTTTTTAAAAAAAAAAAAAAAAAAAAAAAATATCAATGGACACAGCTATAAAAGCAATGGGAAGGCAGTGGATCTTAGATCCCGCAATACCCTGTATATCTAGGAGTCTTGTGAAAGGCACTTTGGTAACAGATATGGTATAGGCATGAAACAACAAGATAAAGCGATTTTTTACAAAAATAGCAAAAAGAAGTGAATTAATTCTGAGACTCAAAATCATACAAGATAACCTTAGCACTCAAGTAACTTGAAGTAGACTTCTACCAGCTCCTAACAACTAAAGCAAAAAAAACCACATTATGCCTCGTCTACAAAAACAACCAAATATTTGTTATCATGACGATCAAAGATAATAATCAATCAGACAGCAGATTAACTGGTTCTATATAATTATTATTTTATCAGACTAGAATAACTATATGTCATGTTTACAATTCAGAGTATCATCTAGTTTACCTGAAGCACTTGCAAAATCTTCTAGCCTGTGAAGTGCAAATGCATTCAGGTAACCATCTTTAAACCAAAGCTGCTAAACTCACCACATTCTGCACTAATTAGGGATCCTCAACACCACATATCTGCAGTTTCAACCAAGGCTATTAAGATTTCTAAGAAAGAAGCAATTTTTAAGATTTGTCTGGCTGCTTTGTCGATAACTAGTAAGACAAAAAGATACAATTTGTATGATGAAGGCAAATTGGTGAAATAAAATGTTTTAAGACAGTGATGGGAAAACTTATAACTTGGTGCATGATCCCTTAGCTTATGAGAAATGCGGGTTGGTATCCAAGTTTTCAGAATTAGGAATTTTGATAATTAGGTAACAATGCAACTCCCTCCTCCATCACAAAATCCAGGTCCCTTCAAAAGAAAGTGCAAAAAGATCAAATGCTTTCTTGATATACTTCTTCCGTTTCTTGATATTAGCTACACTTTCACATTTACACTTTCACATGCTCTACTATGACTATTACTAATGCCAAAATGCAAACAAACATGTGGCAACCTAGCCTTTAGGCCAAAGGGTCTTGAGTGTTGGGCTGAGGTTGCTAGTCTTTTATGGCTTAAGACCTTGCTCATGAACAATTTCTATGAATTAAATACTACAAAATCAATTAAGTAAGAGCACATCAATTAAGTAAGAGCACATGCAACCTAAGTAGCACCGAGACGGACACGGGGACAAAAAAAAACGGCAAAATTAAAATTCCAAAAAATGGGTACGGCATGGATATGGCAAAAAAAAAAAAAATCAGAAAATTAATTTTTTATGGCTGTTTTTTAGTAAAAATTTATGTTGACATTTTTTTTTTTTCTAAGGTATTTTATTAATAGAAAATTAATAGATAAAACAGAGATTAAAATAAATGAGAAAATTACTTTTAAAAAATTCAATGAAAAAAGTCAAAGCCTACATCTCAGAATTAAATAAATGTAAAAAAGAAGGATAAAAAACCAATAGGTTTCAGTCAACGGTGAAGGAGGTATTCCCTCACCTACCCCCAACCCACCAAAAAGTATTTACCCCCACATACTTCTGAAGCACGAAGCAACAAGGGGAAAAAAGGGGAAAAAAAACCCACAGGTTTCAGTCAACGGTGTAGGAGAAGACCGCTTGGAAGGTTTCACTCGCCGGTGAAGGAGAAGACCGCTTGGACGGATGACCTCACTGGTGGTGGTGGGCGTTGAGTCGGCAACTGGTGGTCGGCGTTGAGTCTTCAAAGAGAGAAGAGGGATCGAGAAAGTGAGAAGATGGAAAAGAGAAAAAAATAATGAACTTGGGGACGCCAAATATGTTTGGACCCGTTGAGTGCACCATACCCAAATTCCACCGCCATACCCAATTTTTTGGAAATGTCTCGGGGACGTATTTTAGCCGTACCCGTCCCAGGTTCAGGAAATGCCAGTAACCTGCTGTACCCGTGCTTCCTAGCATGCAACAACTGGATGCAAAAAAGAGCACATTGATAATCATTCTAGACAATTGCAAACAAATAAAGGAGTTACCTCCAAAACAAACTTATTGAAAATGCTTCGGACTTCTGAAAGAGTTTCCAAAACATTTTGAAAAACTACTACTCGTACTAATTTTATATAATCTAGGCCACTAAACCTAGAGGCTACGTGAGCGCTAAAGAAAGACTAAAAGCTATTGAATGCAAGTCTGCGTTTGTTGATGCCCTATTTCTAAAG